AGTTTTAGATGTGAGAAATGTGGACATATTTATCGCGTCAAGAATGTTAACTCACAAAAATCAGAAAGCGAATCAGACAGCGAAGGCAATTCTGATAATAATAACGGGCATGTTTGCTACATACATTTTTGTTCTCTTTGCCGATCATTTCATAAACGCGAAGAACGATGTTATGTACAACCAATTGTACCAAAAGTAAATAATGAATATCTATTGGTAGTTATGATTATTTTAAATAAATTTGTTCATTTTAGATTGTCTTCGATTTTGAATGTGAACTTATATCTCCTGCAAGAAATGAGCAAGAGTGGAAACAGTTGCAAAATGAAGCTTTCTTTCCTTTAAGTGTAGTTCCGAATGATGAAAATTACCAAGTACATCATGTGAACTGTGTATCGGTATTTTAATTTTTAACTGAAAATTAAAAAATTTTTCAGGCGTTATTGACGTGTGCACGATGTATCGGAAATGATAATTGGAAAAATGAAAAGACAGGGCGTTGCAAAACGTGCGGTATGGACATGCCTAGAATGAGAACTTGGACAGCCGCAGATTTTTCAAATCCACTGCGTGAATTTTTGGAATGGTTGATTAATGGATTAGGGAATAAACGATCAGGAAAGACATATGCTATTTCACATTATGGAGGGTTTGATTTACTTATATTCATTTATTCAGCGTTAATTTTAAGCCGTTATGATATGCATCTCCTATTAGGCGAATTGATCAAACATTTTGGAATTGAGCCTAAAATTACAAGAACTGGAAACAAGCTTTATGAAGTCCTAATTAAGAAACAAAGAAACAGATTTCCTTATATTTCATTTCGCGATTCATTCAATTGGACTATGCTTAAGCTGGAACAACTCCCCAAAGCCCTAGCTCTTGAAATTGACGAAGGAGGAAAATCCTTTTTCCCTCACGGATGGAATTTCAATAAGAATATGAATGTTCGACTTGATGGATTACCTGATAAAAATTATTATTACCCTGATTCGATGGGAAAAGAGAGAAAAAAGACATTCGAAGAATGGTATGAAGAAAATAAAAATGAACCATTTTGTCTTCGTGAACAAATTGTCGAATATTGTCAACAAGATGTTCGTATTCTAGCGCATGCTCTCGTCAAACTTCAACGTCTGTTCTTTGAACTAGCTACCGATCCTGCCAAGCGAGATGACGTACTTGTTAATTCTATGACAATTGCCAGTGCATGTATTCGTCATTTTTGTAAGCTCTTAAAACCTAGATGGCAATAAAAATTTTTAAGGTATAAACTATTTGAAAGAAAATCAAATGGGTATAATTCCCGATAATGGTTATCATCGGGATTCAAATCAATCTGCAATCGCTTTAAAATTTCTTCGCTGGCTCTCGCACAAGACAGGCCTTCAAGTTCAACATCAAGAAAGTCCAGAAGGAGAAAAAAGAGTCAAAGTTTCAGATGGAAGTATTTTGCGGCTCGATGGGTATATTAAAAACATTGGAGGAGTAGACCAAGCTATTGAATTTTTGGGCTGTGCATGGCACGGACATGAATGGTAACTTTAATACTTCTTCAAATAAATCGTTTTAAGTTTATACCGCCCACATGAAGTTTGTTTAAACGGGAAGACGGCACTATATAACAAAGATAAACTTTATGAACGTGTTAGCTTATTGAATGAAGAGGGAATTTGGACTACTGCCGTATGGGAATGTGAAGTTATGAAGCAACTTGAAGAGGATCCAGAAATGTCTCTGTTTTTTGATACCTTGCCAGATATTGGCCCGCTGTATCCTAGAGATGCTTTTCACGTATGAATTAGTTGAAATTTAGTATTTAATTTTAAATTAAGGGTGGAAGAACGGGACCGTTGGCACTAAAATGTGATTTAGAAGGATCAGACGAATTTGAGATTTCTTGTTTTGATGTTGTAAGTCTGTATCCTGCAGTGAATTTTTATGCATTTTATCCAATAGGTGAATTTTAATATTTAAATAAAAGTATATTTTTATTAGGACATCCAAATATTTTGGAATTAAATATGGATGTGAATTGGACTAAACCTGAGGATTTACATCCATATAGAGGATTATTCAAGCTCTTCATTATTCCTCCAGATAATTTGTATCTTCCAGTAATTCCTGAACGAATTCATGGAAAATTGGTAAAAATTTTTTAAATTTTATATCATTAATAAACAGATTTTTCATCTTTGTCATCGTTGTGCTGTGGAAATATCTCCAGGTGTGGCAATAAGGGCAAATCGTAAATATAACAGAGAAATTGGACACAAATGGTGTCCGCACACAGATGAACAACGAGGATTTGTTAGTACTACTTGTTCGGTAGAACTTGAACTTGCTTTGAAGCAGGGATATCGCGTGACTAAGGTATACAGCATTTATCATTGGGAACAGTGGTCAAACACCTTGTTGAGACCCTACGTTCAGGATATGATGCGGCTAAAAATTGAGGTAAACTTATTTTTAGACTCAATAAAAAATAATACAGGCGAGCGGATGGCCTGCTAGTGTTTTTGTCCCTGAAAATCCTGAACTAGAGGATCAGAAGAAAAAAGATTTCATTGACCGAAACCAGAGTGTGTATGGAATACATTTAGATCCAACACGGATTGAAAGAAACGAAGGAATGCGTTACCTTGCAAAGACATGCAACAATTCAATGTGAGAATAATTTTTAACTTGCGTCATTATTTAATTTAGGTGGGGGCGATGGGCACTGAGGTGTAATTTGTCTCAGGTATCTTCCCTATAAATCTGTCAATAAAAAGTTTTAGGATTGTATAACTAGCTCTCCAGTGGAACTTCACACTGTTCTCAATGATCCAAAACTCGAACTAGGCGCCGTGGAAATGCTGGCTCCTAATCTTTTTTCCGTTCCATATCGGCATAGACGAGAATTTGTGCGCCCACATGACAAATACAATATTGCAATTGCACTAATTACAACGGCAAAAGCCAGAATAATGCTTTACGACTATATGGAAAAAATAGTTAAAGAAAAGGATTGCAAGCTACTTTATACTGACACGGATAGCTGTTTTTACGTACATCGCCGAGGACAAACACCTCCATTTCGTGTTGGCGAAATGCTTGGTATGATGGATCGCGAGTATGGTGAATGGAACATTATTGCATTCTATACTGGAGGATGCAAACAGGTTAATAACTTAATGTCCAATTTTTAATTTCTTTTAAGTATGCAATGAAAATGATGCACAAGAAGAATGGAGAAATCAAATACATTGTTAAATGCCGCGGTTGCTGGGACAAAGTGGATTCCCCTCTTGACTTTGAACAATTCAAGGTTATTTTTCAGTCGTTTTTAAATTCAAAGAATAATTTAGAAAATGGTTGAAGCGTATGGTGAGGAACAAGAACCTGTCATTTTGGAAAGAACACATTTTCAGCCAAGCTGGCGAAGAGGGGAAGTTACAAGCCGATCACAAACTAGGTATTATATATATTTATAATTATTATCAATTTAAAAATTTAGACGATATGCGCCAATCTACGACAAGGGAATAGTTGATGCTAATTATGATTGTTATCCGTATGGTTACAGAGGCGAACCACTTATTGATCCAACCGAATAAAATATTTTGAATAAATTTAAAAATTTTTAAACTTAATGTTTAATACAAAAAATATTTTTTCATTTTGCATTTAATATCTACTTTCAGATTTGCTTACTTAATTACAGATTTGCTTATTTATCAAAATGGCTGATAATTTAGGTAAATTTGTTTTCCCATTTAAATAATAATTAAAAATTTAGAACTCACTACAGTGATGGTAGAGAAATTAGCAATAAATTCAAAGAATATTTGCATAAAGACTACACCACTTATCAACCTTCTCTGTGACTTCAATGGTGGATGCGTACCAGAAATGCTTAATTGTGAAATACGAAATAATTACAGCGAAAATTTACAATTTATTAAATCTCTAACAAGTATGTCTTCTGAAGATGTTAAAAAAGCTGGAATTGGACAAAAAGAATTTAATGAAAGCAGTATAATTCCTGGAAAGAGATGTCTAATTGCAAATCATCTTAAACATCGTTTTATTGAAGTGTATCCTAAAAAGTTTACGGATATGGGATCTGATCGAATGTTTGCTTTACGAGGATATTTATCAATAACAATTCGGTATTTTATTTATTCGATTATATTGTATTTTAAGTCAATTCTATTATGTTCGACACCGCGTCAATCTGGTTTATCCTCATCTTCCTCTTGTGTGTGTTTCGGGTGGTGGAAAGCATGAATACTTTTACCCAATCGAGTGTTTGGACTTTGTTGAAATCGATAAACAATCTGGAAATTAATTTTAATGCTTATACTTAGAATAAATATTTTTTAGAAAATTATTTTAACAAAAAGTGTTTTAGACATTATATCTATATTGATTATTAATGCATGTTTTCAGTTTTCAGTATCACTATGATCAGTGACGTAAATCTTGGTAAAAATTTAAATTGAGAATTAACGAAAAATAATTTCAGAAACTGCTTCACGTATGCTCGAACGCCTGAATTTGAAGCATGAACAAAATTCTTTGCCACCAGAAGAAATTATTGGCACACAACAACAAAATATTTTTATTTTCAATTCACCTAACTGCGGATTTGACAACCGATTTAAAACAACATTTACTTTGCTTGGACGGACATTCACTTCCATAGAACAGTATTTCATCTGGCAAAAGGCTAGATTTTTTGTGGATTTGGAACTTGCTGCTGAAGTGCTTATGCTTACTAATCCAATGGCTATAAAACGAATTGGAACCCGTGTGAAAAATTATAATAGAAACGAATGGGATTTCGTCAAAGATAAGGCAAGGATTAATTTTATGCAAGACATTAAATAAAAATTCTAGGTAATGTATACAGGCTTATGGGCCAAATTTACTCAGAATGTACAACTCTTCAATCAGTTACGTGCAACTGGAGACGGGCTCATTACACATGCGTCGGCATCAAATCTACATTGGAGTAATGGATTGAGCCATAAAAGCCCGTGTCTGAATGATCCAAATATTTGGGAGGGAGAGAACAAACTTGGTGAATTATTGATGGAATTACGAACCGAAATTAACAAAAGTATTTTTTAATTTATTTTTTCAAAAACATTGAAATTGAATTGTAAATCTTATTTTGAGTTGAATAAATTTCTTCTTCTGATTGTGCTCCGGTAATAATGCATTTTCCGGTTGCGAATACTATAACAACGATGTGCGATTCCTTGAGTCTTAGACACATCCCAGGAAAAAATTCAGGATTATAGGATATGTGCCTAGCCAACCATAACGGCGGAGCGACCCGCATCGAATCATATAGGGCTAAAATTTATTTTTTACTCAATAATTAAGATACCCGGCATATTTATGAATCCTCCAAAAATAAACGAAGAAACTATATTCTGAATTCTAAAATTGTGCATATTTATGAATAACTCGGCTGCAGCGGAAATTATTTTAACAAAATGGTGAATTGCGGTTTCCGAGTCCCTTGCTGATTTTGTACCGACGCATACTATTCTTCCATTAGCAAAAAGTAGTGCAGTAGCAGTTATTGGTTCTTTTATCTTTATTGTTAGTGCAGAAAAGCGCTCAGGACGATATTTAGCATTAGGAATATTAGCTGCAAGATTATTAAGATTTAATTTGTTGTCACCTTCAAGTAGACTAGCTGTAGATACCACGTTTTGAATAATTGCTTTTTGATACATTTTAAGGTCCTATATAAATAATTTCAAGACTTTATTGTTAAATAAAAAATGTTCACAGCTCCTTTCACTATGATAATTTCGGGTGCCACAGGGAGTGGCAAAACTCAATGGCTATTAAAATTTCTTGAACATTCTGACCAACTTATTGATCCTCCACCTTCAAAAATTTTGTACTGTTTTGGAGAAATGAATGAAACTGTTTTTAAGCTCAAGAAAATGGGAATCACTACTTATAATGGGGTTCCTGAATCTGAACTAATTAAGCAACATCAGCTTTTAGTTTTAGATGACTTAATGCTTAATATTCCAAATGATTTTCTAGATTTACTTTTTACTCGAGGTTCACATAATTGGGGCGTAAGTGTGATTTTTGTAACTCAATCCCTATATGGACGCGATATAAAGACTGCAAGAGCAAATGCCCATTATATTCTTTTAACAAAAAACCCTCAAGGCCTTCTGCAAGTACGGACACTCGGCTCGCAACTTTTCCCAAAAATGCTTAATTATTTTCTTGAAGCCTATCGAGATGCAACATCGGAACGTTTTTCTTATTTATTGATAAACATGCATCCTAGTACAGATGAAAATATGCGATTATCTACAAAAATATTTCCTGGAGAAAAAACTACTATATATCTGCCTATGTAATATATAAGTGCTCAAAAATGCTAAAAATAAAAATGCCCACGTATAACTATAGTCCATACGTTAAGGATAATTTTGAGTTTCTTAAACAATTATCAAAAACTACTTCAGATAAAAAGAAAAACGCTCTTATTCTTTCAGCAAGCGCAGATCAAATTTTAGCTATTGTTGAAATTTGTGCTAATATTTTGAAGCACAATTTTATCCTGAGTACTAGACAACGTAAAAAATTATCACAGTTTGCTGACTTTTATAGAGCAATCGCTCGAACGCGTACTGAAAAAAGTGCAAGAAATCGAATACAACAAGGAGGTAGTGCCGCTCTAGCAGCAATACTTGTACCCGTCTTGGGAGCTTTAGCTGAACACATTATTCATAAATTTTCTCAAGAATGAAACATACAAAGAAAATGATTATGGTGCCTGAGAGCGAATATCTTACGCTTTTAGGCATGATTAAAGGTGGGGATTTTCTACAAAAAGAGAAAGCGCAGACAGACATGGAATTGAAAAAGACTTTGGATGATCCAAAAATTTCACAAGAAGTAAAAGCAAAGAAATATAATTGGTTATATAAGAAGAGGCGTCAGCTCAAAAACGAGTTGGAAAATCGCCCACAAAAAGTTATTATCGATGAAGGCAAACCTTCTCCAGAAGTTGCACCATACTTGCAGGAAAACATCGCTAATACGCCAAAACCGAAGTTAGTTCCCAGCAAAATTCAACCGAATTCTACCTCCGAATATCCGTCTGAATCTGAAGTTACTCCTAAGCGGGCACAAACAAAAAGAAAAAGCGCAATTCCTTTTTCCAAATTCAAAGGTATTATTGCAACACGCTATTCCACAGAATTGGATAATTATGTAAAAGATAACGCAGAAAAATTCAGAATAAGTAAGAACGGGAGTTTTGAGTCTAATGTCCCTGGAAGAATTGTAAAGAATAGTAATTTCACAGATGTTCTCGAATATGTAAAGGGTGAAACATCATCTCCCCCAAAAGGTTTCAGTTTTCTATTTAATCGTCTTTCTAAGGACCCATTAGTGAAAGAAATGATTAAAGAGACACGTGGAGAAAGCACTAGTGAAAGTGATACAACCGATAATCAATCAGGCAGCGGTAAGAGAAAAAAGAGAGTTCTGGTAAAAGTCTTGCCTATAAATTCACCGGGATTAGTAAGAAGAAAAAATAAATTTATTCCACAAATATGGGAAAAGCTTTAGATACCTTCTTAGAAAAAATATATTATTCACTTAATTCACCCGCCTCCTATGCTGGAATAAATCGGGTCTATGAAGAAGCGCGTCGTAAATACCCAAAAATAAAATTTCAATATGTTTATGATTTTCTTCATAAGCAGAGAGTGTACACAATGCATAGGCCTCTAAGAAAAAAGTTTCCTAGAATGGCCACTAGACCAAGCGGTTTGCACACAGATTGGCAAGCGGATTTGGCAATCTTTGATCAGTTAGCTAAATATAATGATGGGTACAAATACCTTTTGGTTTGTATTGATGTACTAAGTAGAAGAATTTTTGCGGTGCCTGCCAAATCTAAGAGTTCTGAGGATATGATTGGTGCGTTTGAAAATATTTTTAAACTTTCAAAAGGAATACTTCCCCATAAATTATATACGGATCGAGGGTTAGAATTTGAAGCGAAACGAATGAAAGAATATTTTAAAAAGAAGGATATAGATAAACGTGTAGTTTATAGTCCAGATGTGCATGCTTCAATGGCAGAAAGGGCCAACCGTACTATCAAAGAGCGATTGTACAGATACTTTAGCGAACAAAATAGTCTGCGTTGGAAGGATGTTATTCAAAAAATTGTTTCAGGAATAAATGCAAGTATTAATCGAAGCACGGGTGTAACTCCAAATTCTGTTACGTTTAAGAATGCTGGGGAACTTTTTAACAGACTATATAAGTATCCTAAAAATATACAAAATACTAAAACAAGCTCAATACTAGAGCCAGGGAAAATTGTTCGTATCACTAAAGAAAAAGGTAAATTTGAAAAGGGATATTTACCCAACTACACTGACGAATTGTTTCGCGTACATATTAAAAACGACAATAGATCGCCCATTACATATAAGTTAAAAGATTTTGAAGGAAATTTAATTGAAGGGATATTTTATAGAGAAGAATTGGTACCCACACAAGAAGATACATCTCACCGTATTGCTGAAATTTTAAAAACCCGTATACGTGCAGGGAATAAGCAACATTTTGTTCGTTGGATAGGATATAACGATAATTTTAATAGTTGGATTAACGATAGCGATATTGTTAGAAGATAAATATGGACTCCTTTTATGTTATATTACCCTCAAATACAGGAGGGGTTGAAGGAAATACCACTTCTAAATTTACTGTTCGAATGCCTGATACTCTTGAATTGGATTCAAGTTGGACTGTTGCACTATCTAATATTATATATCCGTTTTCTTTTTCATTGGCCGGAGATTCCGAAGAACAAGAATCAATAACTGTTTTTCGAAGATACGGAAATGAACTTTTACCTATTCGTATCGAGATACCCGATTTGTCCTTTGCCTCAGAAGAAGCATTGGAAGAGGCTATTAATGCAGTTTTGCTTGATGTATGGAAAAAGGAATTGGATCGCGAACGAGAGGAAATAAGGCTTGAAGAGAATAAAAAAAGAATTTATGGGAATTTTCGTAAAAGGCGTTCTGTCGAATCTATAAAAGAACAGTATGATAAACATGGTTATTTCGATCTTTATACAAATGAACTCAATAAATTTATCAAGCTATTATCAGAAGAGGATGAGGCAATTAGTCCAAAACTTACAAATTTGAGTCCAGGAGAAGGAGGAAAAAATATTCGTCTTTTGCCTCCTGCAAATCAAAAATCTCTTTACTTAAAAGTTATTGATAAATTTATTCTTTCGCAACAAACATTAGAACCTGCGGAGCAATTGGCTAAGAATGGCTATTTCGATATGCAAAAGCAAACCTCATTTAATTTTATGAAATATTTAGGCAAAGAAGGAATTCAGTTGCCTCCTATAAGCCCTGCCCCAGTTGATGGTATAGAAAGAGTTCGGTTTCGTCCGTATACCGATCAAAGGGATCGAATCAAACAAGCTATTAAAGAATTTATGCATCCGCCAAGTGTTGGTCAAACTGAGGATAAAGCTGCACCTGTCAATAGTCAAGAATTAACCCTTGAATCAACACCACAAACAGAATTGCCTCCTGCTAAGATTGAAAAATCGGATGTTAATTTTTCGCTGGAGGCTATCGCTCAACAATTGGAAAAAGAAGGTTATTTTGATATGCCAAAGGACCGTGCTTATAAATTTATAAAATATTTAAATACGGAAATTAAGGGCGCAAAACTTCCAAATGTATCATCGGTTGCGGGGAGCTCTGTTGAGACGGTCAGATTAGAGCCACAAGCTGATCAGAAGGATCTGATAATGAATGCAATTAAAAGCTTTATGTCCTCTTCTCCAATTGTGCCTGAACCTATTCAACAAAATGAAACAACAGATTCTGTAGAAGAAAGTATTGTTGAAAATGATCAAGAAAATTCTGAAGAAACTGAAGAGCCTTCGCCTACAATTCAAAAGGCCCCAATCACTCCTGCTACTGTCGTGACCAGTCCTATAATTGACGCTACGCTCAATCCTGAGACTTCAGTCGAGGCACCTCCCAATCCAGAGACTCCCGTGACAAGTCCTATAATTGACGCTCCGCCCATTCCTGTGACAAGCCCTATAATCGAAGCTCCGCCCACTCCCATGACAAGTCCAATAATCGAAGCTCCGCTCACTCCTGAGCCTCCAGTGACAACACCTGAAGAAAACCAAATTGAATCTAATGACAAAACTCCTTTAGATGGGAAAATAACTCCCCTTACATATGTAGAGGAGCCTGATGAAAAGCCATCATTAACTGATGATCAAAAAGTTTTAATGGAAATGGCCGTTCGTGCAGCGACAAGAGCATGGAGAAATAGTGTCGAGTTGGCAGAGCAAGCACAAATAAATATGGAACTTGGAGCAAAATATTGGCAGAATGCGCGCTTTAAGTATGCGTTAAAAGATAGTGTGATAACATTAAAAGAAACGGGCGAAACTGTACACTTAAGAAAAACACCTAAAAATATACTTGAATGGGTTAAGTCTCAGTTAATATTGTTGACTAATCGTAAAATTGCAATTGATAAATGGACACAGGAATGTTTAGAATATGGAAAAAGAGCTTCGGAAGCACAACTAGAGACTAAAGCTGCAGAAACACGCGGTGATGTTTCAGAAGCACGAAAAGCTGCAGATCGTGCTAAGGCCGCAGAACGTAAGGTAAAGGAAGCAGCTAGTCAGGTTGAAGAGGCTGTTGCGGGGCAAAAACGTTTATCAGAAGAAATTATTGGTAAAGTTGACGCGGAACTTGCTAAACAGGACAAGGAAATAGATAATACTTCGTCAATACCTGTATCTTTAACTATTGAAGCGGAAAATGAAAAATTAACAGAAGAAAATATCGAGGAAAATATTGAGGATCATGATAATAATGACGCTCTAACCGACGAAGACGAAGAAGAGTGGACACCTCCATTACCAGAAGAAAATATCGAAGAAAATATTGAGGCGAACGAAGAACCAACGATTATCGAAGAAGGTACTGCGGAAGAAGATATGCAAGAAGATAAAAAACATGAATTACAAACAATAACCGATGATGACGAAGAGCAATGGGAAGCTCCGTTACCAGAAGAAAGTAATGAGTTACATGAAGAAACAGTAGAAGATACTGAAGAAGATGATACAAGAGAAGAGCCTCCGCAGGAATCGCAACCAATAAGCGATGAGGACGAAGAGCAATGGACACCACCATTACCAGAAGAAAAAAATATTGAAGAAAATATTGAGGCGAACGATGAACCAACGATTATCGAAGAAGAAACAGAAGAAATTGATACAAGCGAAAAGACTCTGCAGGAATCTCAAACAATTTACGATAAGGATGAGCAATGGGCACCTCCATTAGCAGAAGAAGACCCTGTAAGTATTCCGCCCTCAACCGCAAATTTACTTGAAAATATTGTGCAGCCTAAAGTAGATGAAATAATTCATACAGAGGAGCGGCCTTCTCTTCCCCGTCCTGAAATGTTAATTGGAGAGCCTCCTCACCATCCCTCCTCATGGAAAAGCTTCTTTGGACTTGGCGGTGTGTCAAGCGAAGACAAAACAAAACCTAAAGAGCTTCCAGGCCAAAAGGAAAAAGCAGAACCTCACAAAGAAAAGTTAACAATAAGAGTTGATGATTCGGATCCTAATGTAAAGAAAATGCATTTTGCTAAATATGGCTATCCTCCTGAATATCTAAAAATGCTTCTTAGCTTTTCCAATATACAACTAGCCGATCCAAAATATCAATGGGTTTCAGTACACTTCGATAAATTGCATAAGAGGTTCCATGTCTTCTTACAAGGAAATGTGCAATATATTCAATTAAGTCGTCAATTAGCATATACTCTTGGTTTTGATTCTGAGAAAGTTCATAGTGGACAAGTGGCAAAGTATATGCCTGATATCTCGGGGGGCGTGCGGCAATTTTTGGTTTACGCTCCAAGGCTTGTTGAAAATAGTATAATTGGAAACGTAACTGCTCCTCTATTACGTGTTGTGAATCTCACTGGTAAGCCTGGTGATAGTATTTCCGAAGTATATATGACCGAACATCAACATCGTATATTAGGTAAACGTCATCCAGACATTACTATTGAAATTCGTACCCTAGCAGGAAAACTTGTAAAATTCCATTGGGGAACCTGTATACTAACACTACATTTTCAACGCTCTCTATTTTAAAAATGACACATGTACCTGTAGATCTAGATAAAATAGACTGGGGTCCTTTTCTAGCAGCACAAGATGGTGGGGCAAAAACAGACATATCAGATGAAAGTCGATATTTTCAGGGAACAAGGTATCAACGAGGTTTTGGAGTGCTCGGTACTGTAGGGCGTTTTCTAATGCCAATAGTTAAAAATTTAGCTTCTAGTGCAGGCCAAGAAGCAATCAACGTTGGTAAAAATGTGCTCGAAGATGTTTCACAAGGGCGATCAGTTAGTGATGCCTTGAAGCAACATGGTAGCGAAGGTCTTCAAAAAGTTGGGAAAAAGCTCCAGCAATGCGGAAAAGGTAAAAGGAAACGCAAGCCAAAACTTATTACAGAAAGTCTAGAGAAAAAAGGACGGCGCCATAGAGATCAACTTAGTTTAGAAAATTTCTGAGTATATAAGTATAGCATAATTACTAATTTTTTCATAGTAAAAAATGACCACATTAAAGAAAATTGATAAAGATAGTTCCGAAGGGGTTGATAATCGTCTGACCTTCTTTTCTATACCCTCTACAAATGTTGGTATACAGCGTTCGGCATACAAAGAAATACTACCTCTCAATGCTCTCAATCAATCTGCGGGACCGTTTGTTTTTCGATATTTTGGTGATTCGCTCTATCTTGATTTGAGCAAAACATTTTTAAGTTTGGTTTTATCTCTTGAAAGAAAAGATACAACTAGTGGTGAGTGGGTTCCTATCACAGACGGTGAAGCTGCCGATTTGAAAGGTGATAAATTTACAGGGGTTGCTCAATATTTAGGGCTTACATGGATTCGTCGTCTTACTCTTTCAATTAATGGGGTTCAGTGCTATGATTCTGGCATCCACTATGCATACCGATGTATAATTCTGCATGAACTTGGCGCCGATAAAGAAGTAAGTAAGGGCCTATATGAAGCGGCGCTTTATTATAAAGACGCAGTGGATAAGGATGATTCCGAGGGCTCTGGCTTTAAATCTCGAGTTTCTCGTTTTGCCAAAGGTAAATTATGTAGAATGTTTTCCCATTTAGATTATGACATGGCTAGACAGAACCAGCTCTTAATTCCACAAAGTGACGTGATCTGGACCATTTACAGAAATTCTGATGAATTTCTAATTCATACTCCAAAATTCCGCAGCACTGCAGCATTAGTAGAAAACCCTCATAAATACCGACTTAGGCTTCATGACATGAGAATTTTAATAAAACAAGTTGATCTGAGTATGTCGTTAAATAATGCTATAGCTAGACATCTAGAACAAACACCTGCAAAGTATGCTTATAGAAAAATTGATATCCGTAGTGTTTTCCTGGGAAAAGGGCGTCAAGAAATTACTCATGCGGCGTTCACAAGTACTTGTCCGAGACGCTTAATAATCTGTTTTGTTAGCTCTCCTGCATTCACGGGAAATAGTGCTTTATCGCCTTTCACTTTTGAGCACGCAAACTTGCGCTCTGTCTCTGCAGAATTTGGTGGATTCCAATTTCCTGCTGTTTCATATGATTTTGATTTTGCTGATAATAACTTCGTTCGCGCTTATGTTGATATGTTTGTGGGTATGGACCTTGATAATTGGCCAAACACTGACCAGAGAACTCTCGATATCAGTATGAGAGAATTTTCAAAATCCTCCTGTTTCTTTGTTATACCGATGACTTCAACACTAGAGGACACGAACGGACTAGAATTAATAAGACAAGGAACTACGACTATCAGGTGTATTTTTAATCAGCCAATCAAAGATGAAGGTTATGAAATGATAATTATGGGTGAATTTGATTCGGTTCTGTCCATAAATGCAGACCGCGTGTTAAGTAGCGATGGATCTGTTTAAGATGAATTCTCTGCAAATTGAAACTATATTAAGCCGCTACAAACCACTTGAGAATAAATTTCTGGGTGTCTTTTCATCTAATAATATTCCAAATATAGAACGGAATAGCCCTTTTTGCTTTATTGCAAACACCATGAAGAAAGGAACTGTAGGGGAACACTGGATTGCTTGTTATTCAGATAGAAAGAACACATTAGAATACTTTGACTCGCTCGGAGACCCCCCTAACTGTGATATGCGTCGATCTATGCTAAATCGCTTTAAAATAGTTAAACAAAGCCGTTATTCTATTCAATCTCCATTATCTGATACATGTGGACATTATTGCATTTGTTTTCTTGTAAACCGTTCAAAGCAAGGAAGTAGTTTTTCTTCCACACTTAGGAAACTGCACTCAATACCTTCAGAAAGTCGTGATGCCATTATAAAAAGATTCGTCCAAAGATTAGCAATGCTCCCTAGTATATAAGAATATTACTATTAGTAATAATATAAGCAAAAATGATTTTTACTCTATATCTAATTTCCTTAATCGGTCTCACCTGGGCTTTTAAACAAAATGATAGTAATATACTTTATCCGATTCACGGCCCATACCCTCCAAATGTGAATGCCTGTTTTATTATTGATGAAGCTCACGCGCTTTCAATCGGCCCTTCAGTAAATCCTAATAAAGATATGTTTTTATTAATCGCTTATGTCCTAGATTTGTTACTAATTTTTGTTTTGGCTGTAGTGTTTAAAGCACATGTAAATTTGAGAAGAAATGGAAACGGGGAACTCCCTGGAATGAGGTTTGCGAAAGGGCCTCTTGGTATATAAGCCAAGAGAAATAAGTTTTTAGAGATAAATTATACCTGGGGATATGAACATTCGTACTAGTGCTAATATGTCAGAATTTAGAGAACCTGTTAAATTTTCATCAAAATCACCTCCGCCTCATGTGCGCGTCAAAACTTGCTCGTTACTTCAATTACTTTGTAAATTTAATGGAGGATGTGCACCAGAATCGCTTCACAGGGAAATACGAAAAAAATACAACGAAAATATTCAATTCCTTCAAACTCTAACTACTATGACAAATGAGGATCTTGCCATCAATGGAATTGGTCAAAAAACTTTTTCAGATAATAATATAAAGCCAGGAAAGAAGTTTATAGTTACAAATCATTTAAGACATATTCAGTTCGAAATATACCCAAGTAAATTGACTAAGATGGGCGCGGATCGTCTTTTTGCATTACGAGGATACTTACGTGTGACAATCAGGCAATATTTCTATGTTCGACATCACATTGATCTCGTTTATCCACAGCTACCTCTTGTTTGCGTTGTCGGAGGACGACAGCATCAATATTTTTATCCTCTGGAATGTTTGGACGTTGTTGAAGTTGAAGAACAAAAATGAATAGAAATTTATGCAAACTATATAAATGATCATTCACATTTTTTGCATAATATTAAAAATGTTTTTTATGTTAATTTTTGTTGTACTAGTAGAGCTTGTTAACTGTGAAAATAAAATAGTAAAGAATGAAGAGAATAAAATATCTTTATTTCGAAGAACGCCCAAACCACAAAATTTTGAGCATGCTTTACGCCCTGCCTTAACTTCTCATTCAAATTTTACAACTTTAAAACCGAGTGGGCATGTTTGGTTTGCGTACGATGAGAACGAAAAGGAGTGGAAACAAATATACAAACCTACCTTTTCAGTTGTGTATTATAAACCAAATATATTCGATACCGCATGGGTATTTATTAAAGAAACTTGCTATGACGTTGCTGTAGCTACCAAATCCCTTGTTATCGGGGTGTCGAAGCTAACATTATACTTTGGACGTAGATTAATACCTATTCCCTTGTAAAAACGTTAGCTTTAATAAACACTTTTTATCTTTAATTTATTTTTTTCGGAAAAATATATTTTTACTTTGTATTTTTGCTTTTCTTCAAAAATATGTAAACTTTGTGCTTTTTAATTTGCTTAGAATTAGGTTTATCTTATATTAATTCAACAATCGTTTGAATACGTCCGTGCTGCTTTTTAAATGTGCCAACCCGTCCGATCTGGCACGTTAAGCAACGATGGGCATAATTTTTAAACCCCCTCAACCTATTGAAAAATAATTTCTCCCTAAACCTTTTGAAAAATAATAGTAAAGCCTTTTTGTGACGGTTTTACATCGAAAATTTATTTTTGATGTAAAAGTGGTATATATACTACTCCCAAACGTCCGAACTTGACACACTATCAGTCAACAACAAAGCCTGTGAAAGCAAAGGAAAGAAGTTTTTACAGTCCAAACTTTCTCATTTTTTCACTCACGTCTACTATTATAAAAACAAATGAAAAATTAAAAAAATTTCTGTGTTTAGGGTTTAAATTTTTCATGTTTTTCGAAGAAAACACTGATACCGAGACGCTCAAAAACGTGAAATTTCTTGATTCTATAACCAAGATCAGAACAGAGACCAGCCCTAACTCCCATTTTAAATAATTTAAACACAATTCTTGTACATTATCCAAATATATTTCATTTTCAGAAGCTACTAATCAAATTAATACCTACATTTTTTGCACAAATTGATTTTGAGATAAATAAAATTTCAAATGAAAGTATAGAAAAAGCTGCAAGTTATCCCGGCGCTCAAATAAACATAAACGGAATAAAATTAATTTTATTCAATCCATCAAAAAAACTAATAAGATTAATATGTTTTTTGAATCCGGAAGGGCCTAGAAAAGTTTTAAAAAAAGAGAATTTTAATAAAACTAAATTGATTGAGTCAACTTCATTAAAAGGCAATAAAATTGAAGAAAAAATGGAATATTCTCACATTGAAATTTGTTTAAAATTTGAAAATCCTGGGAATTATTTTATTATCATTTTCAATCATTTTAATGTTGGATGGCTTCAATTTTACGTTCAAATTAGAAAAGAAAACGAGGAAAGATGTGTATTCAAGATGTTCAAGAAAATTTCAGAGTTGGAGAAAGAAGTATTGAAAAGTTTGAGGCAACGTATAACAATTTATATATCAAAATCAGAGGTAAACGATATTGAAGATGGGCAAATGAATGTATATTATAATGAAAGTTTGGAATTTATTTACGAAAAAAAATATAAGAATTTGGCTTTCGTTGCCATGATTGAACCGGTGATAGATGGAAGCTATGAATTTTAATTGGAGAGGAGGGAAGAATAATAGAATTTTTTGAGAATTATTGAGAGAATATTTAAATTTATTAAAAAAGAAAGTCATTAAAAATGAAAAACCTTTTCATAAATATTTTTTATCATAAATTAAAATTTAAACCCTATAGTACAGGAAATATTTTTTATTCTAAACGGTGAAAATAGTGGTGCTCGGAAATAAAAAATTACTAAGATTCGAGAACTGAGATCGAGAGAGAATTTGGCCCGAGACCGAGACGGTAGATCAAAACCTGAAAACCACTAAAAAAATCTCTTTTAAATTTTTAAATAATTTTATTCTGATTTTGTATCCAACAAACAATTCTCTTTCAGGACATAAAAGCTAAATAAGTCCTGAAAGAGACAGTTCAAAAAAGCTTCTCGTTTTAAATATCCCAACACTAATTGAATAAAATTAAATAATTATAAAATTTATTTTCAATTTACATAGTAAATATTGAAATTTTCGAAATATAAAAATAATTAAAAATATTTTCAAAAATCATCTCTCCCTTTCTTCCAATTTATTTCTTTCTTCCCCACAAATTATTTAAAATAGATCCACTGGTTAATCCATCAACATAAAATAGTTGTCTTTTAAATCTCGGAATTATATCGGAATTAATTTCAGAATTTTCAATATCCACTGTTGGATGTGTTAAGTATTGCTGTCTTTCACTCATTCGCTTCTTTCTCCACAAATTATTTAAAATAGTTCCAGAAGTATAAAAATCTGCCCAACGTTTATTTGCTTGTTTTGAATTCAAAAAATTCTCATTATCCTCCTCCTCTGTTCTAATTTTATTTTTATTTGTAATTTCAGTTAAATCTCTCCTTTTTCTCCACAAATTATTCAAAATTGTTCCACTAGTAAATCTATCAACATATTGGGCTTGCACAGAAGAATGCTCCCAAACTTGAATTAATACAAATATTAAAAATAGAATTGTTGTTGGGCGTAGAAATGTTGTAATTGTAAAAGTAGACATTTTAATATTTTTGTTTTACAATTTGTAAAAGAAAAAGTTTATTTTTTGAGCAAGTTTGTTAGAATTGTAAAACTTGAAGAAAATGCTTTAAGAATAAGTTGTAAATAATTGTAAAACTTGTTTTACAATTTGTGGTATTTAATTGAAAATAAAGTTTATTTTTGTAATAAGTTTATTTTTTGAATAGGCTTATTTTTAGAATTGTAAATTTGAAGTTGTAAACTTGAAGTTTTATTTATTTGAAGAAGAATATTTAAAGAATAAGTTTGATTAAATTGTAAAACTTGACTCTCTTTTTATACTCTCAAAAATAATTTCAAGTTTGTAGTCTACAATAAATCAACTACAACTTTTTCTTTCCTTTTCAGTTCAAACATTCTTACGAAATACAATTAAAAATTAATTTTCGCGCATCAACAAGTTCCAAAAATAATTATTTTCTTTTTTGGGCGTTTAATTCATTTATAAATTAATTGGTTATTTTACTTGTTTTTGGACAAATAAACATGATTTTTGCATTTACTTTTTGTTTGTTTGTATTTTGTAGTTTTTTGACAAAAATTAAAATGGTTCCACAAAAATAAATATTTTTAAAAATTCTTATTTTTATATTAAATTAAATTTATTAAAATTTAGAATCTCATAATATTTTTAATTTTCATTTACAAAAGGAATAGGTTGCAATAAAATAAAATTGGAATTCGTTTTTCTTTTGTTAGGTGATCCAATCCGAACGAAACTTCGATTATTTGAAACCCCTCGAAGATCCTTTCAAAATAATGCATCAGTTGATTGCCATTTAAAAATTACTTGTCATTACGTCGAAGAATTCGTTATTCTTCACATTTATCGACTCGTAACTCTTAATGGGAAGTCAGGCATGATACGGCATTTTGAAATAAAGATAGCGCATATTCAGTGCTTTCGAATGATCTCTTAATTCTGAAAAATCGAGTATAGTAGAAAATGGTGGGAGATATCCGAATATTAACCGTCACTTTATGAAAAAATAAATCCAAAATCACAAGCTTTTTTAATTAATAAAAACTATGGTTATTAATTTTAATTTAAAAATTTTTTAAAAAATTTTAAAAAATTTCTAGTGCTTCAATAGTTTATAGCCATTTATAGTTGACTACAAAAGACACAATTTATTTTTAGTTGTAAACACCTACTTTTTTAAAAATTTCAAGATCACTCATTCCTTTTTCTTTCATTTTGTGATCGAGAGGGTGGTATTTCACAAACGAGAAGAGGAATTAAATTAAAAATTAAACTCAAAGTACTCTATTTTAGGATCAAAATTTAAATTAAACCCGAAAATGATTAAAAAAATTTTTAACTTCCTTTTCTTCAATTTTCCCTTTTTTCCTTTAATAGATCGTTTTTGGTGCAAATTTACCGTATTTGCTCTAGTTGAATGACAGTCATTATATTTTTCAATACCCCAGAAATTTGTCATTAAATTAGAAGGGTCATTCAAATAGAGGAGCATTCAATTAGAGCAAATACGGTATATTACCTACAAATTTGTAATAAATTTAAAGTTTTCAAATTCTATGAAGATCAATTATATTACAATAAATAATGAATTACAATTCACAAAAAAAACTGAAGCTAAAATTTAATTACAATTGTAAACTTGAAATACAAAACAAGATGTAATAGAACCTTAATTACAATCTAATAAAACTTGAATTTTCAAAACTTGAAGCAAATTTGTAAACTTGCATTAATATAAGCTCAATTACAAACTTAATTATGTAGGTAACTAGAAATACAAGTATAATACCAAACTTGAATTAATTATATAATTATTATTTATGTATCAATACTGAATGAAATTAAATTTTATTTTAACTAAATCAAAATTTTTAAACAATCGGAAACAAATTTATTTAAAAAAAAGGTATATTAACATAAAATAGATATATCATTTTTGCTTTCTTTCTTCGTCCCTAATTTTTGTAAACCAAGAATTAATAATTAATGAAGATAATATCCATTTAAAACATTTAAATGTCACCCAAAACAAAATAACAAAAACAATTATAGAGAAGAGAATAACATCAAGCGAATAATAAACAAACCAGTTCATTTCCTTTTCTCCAGGTAAATTAAGTTCTGGCAAATCTCCAAATTCTGCAGCAAATTCAACCCATTTTACAAGTCTTTCTGTTGGGCTGAATGGAGTTAATTTTAATTTTTTGGATATTATTTTGGCGTTTTGTTGGTATGTAGGTTGGTAGAGAATCTGGAATTTGGAGGTGATTAGAAGCTATTTCACCAATGTTACCCTTTCTAATGCGTCTCCCAAAACATTTTCACCGTTGCCTCCCTTCAAGTGAGATACATCTACTTGTACTCCCAAACCTCTTGTTTCTCCAACGATACAATTGTAAAATTGATCTCCAAAAAGAGGAATCCCAATAATAGGAACGCCTGCTCTCGCTGACTCTGTCAAACTGTTCTGGCCGCAGTGTGTGATAAATGCGCGAGTGTTTGGATGTGCTAGAAAAAATATAAAAAGTGAATGTTTTCAAGATATGTCTTGTGCGAGTTCGTGTAATATCCAATGGAATAGTTCGAGATTGGTGTAGAGAGGAGGGTCCAGTATTTAGTGTGAGAGTGGATGAGAGAAAGATCAGAAGCTCACCATAAGGGCAAGCTTATCCTATTTACTGCTTAAAAATGCAAATTGGTTTATTTGTAATAATTTGCATCAAAATTAACTTAATTAACATTTTACTGCTTAAAAATGCAAATTTTGCGTTAAAAATTTCAAGTTTCAGCCCATATTTGATCCATATTTTGGATTTTAGTCCATATTTCAGTCCATATTTCGAGATTTTTAGTACATATTATATGTCCATATTTTTCGATTGATAGTCCATATAAATCCCATCCCTATTAATGATCATTCCAAAGCCACAGGCCCATGCTCCAGTAGTGTCCAACTTAAATTTACGCCAAAACTAAGAACAAAGCCCAAGGCTTCTGTTATAATATTTGTAATTACAATTTACCCAGAATTGCAGGTTGCCGCAACCACTCAAAATTATGAACATTCGGTGCAGATTTAAACATTTGTAAATTGTTATTCACTGTTTCATTATCAACTTTCCAAATAAAACGAATATTAGGAAAGCGTCGAAATGCCCCCATAATAGATTTCAACATCCGTTCATTAAGTTTTGTGGTATCCGTAAGAGAACCAAACGAAAAAAGGACTGCCCCTTCTTTTGCCTTGTCTAATATTCTTCGAGTTTTCTTTAAAATTCCAAAATTTAAATAAATTTAACAAAAATTTATTGCCTCATCCAATTTTTTGCTTTCCTCAGATGCCATATCATCAACAAGTCCACCTATATAAACAACTTTGCTAGAAATTGGACGAGTCAATTCTAAAAATGGATTCGAGTTTATAAATATTAGAGAAGTATTTTTGACTAGTTCTTTCAAATTAGGGAAATCTTGGCCAAATTCTTTGCGGATAATTTTGTCCTTAAAAATATTTACTTAAATTTTAGAAACAATTAAAACTTGAGTTCGAAAATAAGTTTCATCAGTCCAAAGCCAATCGAGAAATTCATTGTAAAAATTAAGCAATCTTAAGAAAAAGGAAGATTCAAGTCCAAGTCTGGGAGCCATTGCATCTAAAAATTTTACAATATTCCAAAGTTTAGTTTCAAGTGTATTCTCATGTCTTATTCATGTGCATTAACTTGAACATAAATTTGATTTTCTTAGATAAAGGTAATACTGTCATTTCTCATAGTTTATCATACTTCTCACACTATGATTTGTTATAATATATCCATAAAATAATCATCCGAAATGGGCATTAAACAAGTATGTATTGATACGGGTTTTACCCGCCCAAAAGCCATCAGGACCAACAAATTAAAAAAATTTCAATTCCAAAAAATTTCTAAGTAAAAATATTCCCCGTTTCTGATCCACCCCGTCGGGGAATAACCCTGGTATTGATATCAGCTCTGGCATTCCATTTCTTACATTATTTGCGCCGAAGGCGAACATTTTGAGAATTTTGGAGGTCCTTAAGCCAGATTCCTTCCATTTTTTGGCCACAGGCGAAAATTTTGGAAGTTTTAATGTTAAATTTAATTTTTAACAAAAAAGTCTATTTGTAAGTACGTACTCCAAAATAAGTACGAATCCGAACCCTGATTTATACTAATGAAAAAGATATATAAATTAAAACTTGGCATGAAGCTGGCAAAGCTTGGGATATCGAACTTTCGGCTAATCATTTGTATTAAATGAATAGCAGAAACTTTTATTTTTGTTCGAACATTAAGTTTATGTAAAAGAGCTGCAGGGCAATAATCATACATTTCTGCTATGCCAACATCAAAATGTTCATTAGTCAATTTTTGTATCAATTCATGTTCTTTAAGTGTATCTAATAATAAAGAGTAATTAAGTTGTTAGGGAGAGCCAATGAGAGGGTATTTTGATAACGTCCGGTTTTTCTGTACTTCCAGATTTACAGGGTTACTAAAAGCATGATTACTTCAGTTTGAAAGAAAACCCGGAGAATGTTGAGCCAACTAGATGTTTTATTATTCAATGACTTTCAATAAGTGGGCTTTTATTTATCTGAAACAGACTTAGGTATATTAGGGCATTTAATGATATTACAAGTTTAAATACCTTTGCATACAGTAGCCATGATTGGATCAAACTCAATAATGGGGTGATCAAAAAAGGTCAAAAATGGCCGCCTTTGAGAGAAGGAATCTGCGACTAGATGCATATTTTTAACGTCCACTTTTTTCGCGTTCGCCAAACTTGGTTTAATTTGATGTATCCTTTTTACCTTCCTCGTTTCGTTTTTCTGTTCTAAATCTGGGCTCATAATGTATTTGAGGAAATGCTTTAAATATAGAATTTAGAAATTATTTTGTAATATTAAATGTGGATAATTTCGACAGTAAGTTAAATTGGTCGAAAAAATGCAAAAATTCTTTTAAAAAGGGCTTGTGATCCATCGAGCTTGCGCTCATCAATTAAATTTTTAAATAAATATTTTTGTCATTGTAATTTTAAATGCCTGAAACTGCTGAAACAGACGGCATTGTCAATGACTACCAAATGACTTAATAATGTCAGGATTTTGCAGTTTTGTACATATTTCTGTTAATATTTTTGGGGTCAATATAATGACGATGGAATCAAAATTTCCAAAATACAAGAGGTTTTAGTCCATAGTCAATATAAAATTAACCCTAATTAATAATGTCTCAATTACTAAATTAACCAACCACTTCATGGCCAGCATCAACTAAAGTATCCGCAATCCTTCCCAAAAATTGGCCATGACTCCAGCTTAAAGAGGGTGAATATACAAGTATTTTGAGTTGTCTTCCTTTTTTAAATTCTGATTGTAAATTATCAGAATTGTGTTGGAAAGTAAATAAAATTAAGGTCAAAAAACATAATGTTGGATAAAAATATTTAAGAAAATTGAAGCGTACAGAAATCATAATAATTGTGTAGTTTAGAGAAATATTCTACTAAGAAATTTTAAATTTACTAAATTTAAAAAAATATTTAATCGTTTATTCCTTTTGTTCATTTAATTTCTGATTAATTTCTCTATTAAATATTTTAAATTTAAGTAAGTTATTATAAGTTATTATGAGGAAAATTTTATAATAATTAGGAATAATTCTCTTTAAAAAACAAATTTTATCTTTAAAGAGAAGTATTCTCTTTAAAGATAAAATTTGTGTGTCCGCATTTGCAGAAAGAGCACGTATGTTTGTAAAATTCGGTGCAGGCCAAATTACCGCAGAGGTGTAACATCGTTCGGAATTGTCGAATCCGTCTACGCCCTGTTATGGCTCGCCCATACCAGGGTGTCCATTATTCGACCCTTGTTCGCTCTTAGCCGCCTAAATAACTTGTTGAATCAGCTGGAAAATAGCTTGTTCACATTAATTTATTTTCCTAGTCTACTTTGTTTTGATAAAAATATACAAATCAAAATAAATTTTTATTTAAACTAGAAATAATCGCTCAGTATTTGTTTATTTGCTAAGAAAATTGAGAAGAATTCCATTGAAATGTTCACGTAATCCTTAGTAAAATTTAAACTACATTTCTTATCAATTAATTAAAATTTTTACGATTCATAAACTACAATATAGATAAGTTAAAATTGAAAGGAATGTGAGCTAAAATTGATCATTAAAAATTTAGTAAAAAATAAAAATAAATTTTATTGTAAACATTCCAAACATGAAAATGCATGTGTTGTGAAAAATCACCTATGAAGGTGATTTGACTTTGCTAAGAGCGTGCAATTTTCTTGATTTCGTCATTTTTTGATAAATTTACTCGCTAAAAATTATTTTTTGGCAAAATATGTAGAGAAATTTTTCTGTTAGAAGAAATTATTCTTTTCGTAATAACTTTTTTCAAAGTTGATGAAAATAGATAATTACTCATAGGAAAGGTAATTACTTATAGGCAAGGATAATTACTTATAGGCAAGGTTATAGGCAAGGTTTATAACATTCGAATAAGCTCTGCCGTCAAGATAAGACTATTAACTTGTTCATGGGCTGAGATATGGATCTTTACAGGATAGATTAGATATAAAAAAATTTAAACAGAAAAATAATTACAAATATAGTAATTTTGTCATCAAAATAAAAAAAATATTCATCCTTGCTTCAACTTTGTTTCTTTTTCTTCAATTTTTGTTAACCAAAAGTTAATAATTCCAAATAATATCCATTTAAAACATTTAAATGTCACCCAAAACAAAATAACCAAAACAATTATAGAGAAGAGAATAACATCAAGTGAATAATAAACAAACCAATTCATTTCCTTTTCTCCAGGTAAATTAAGTTCTGGCAAATCTCCAAATTCTGCAGCAAATTCAACCCATTTTACAAGTCTTTCTGTTGGGCTGAATGGAGTTAATTTTAATTTTTTGGATATTATTTTGGCGTTTTGTTGATATTTTGGTTGGTAGAGAATCTGGAATTTTGGAGGTGCTTTAAATTTTGGCTAATAAAAAGCCTCTTACACTCCTTAGCGCTTCAACCAAAATATTTTCAGCATTAGGCCCACTTAAATCATTAACGTCTATTTGAACTCCTAGACCCCTTTTTTGTGCAATATCGGCATTGTAAAATTGGTCAGCAAAAAGTGGAATTCCAATAATTGGAATGCCCGCAATTGCAGATTCTGTTATACTGTTTTGGCCACAATGTGTGATAAATGCACGGAGATTGGGATGTGCTAGAACAAAATAAACACTAAATTTTAGTAAAGCTTCAACAACTTTAAAATTTATAATTATTTTAATTTAATGAGGGGTTGGACACCGGCCCATCTAACTCCGACCAGGACTCTGAAATATTTTATCAAACCTGACCCCGACATCGCAATTCACGACAAACCTTATCCCGAACATTACAACCTCGAGGGTCGAGGTCGAAACATAGTTAAGGATAGTGTGGTCTACGATAGGTCAAGCAAAACGGCCAAAGACATCCCACCAGAGAATAGCCAAAGATCGGATAGGAGATGATCTTAAGAGCTTTCCGATTTAAGGTAGTTAAACATTTTTCGATTTAAGGTAATTAAACATATAATCATACCAATACAAAAGTTCTATTTATTGGTTTCTGTTGTTTAGGTTTATGGAACTGTTGAAAAGCCTAATAAACAAACTTACCTAGAATTGCGGGTTGTTGAAGCCACTCAAAAGCATGAACATTTGGCAATTTTGAAATATTTTTAATTGTATCCTTGTCAACTTTCCAAAGGAAATGAATTTGGGGGAATTGTTTGAATGAGTTAATAATTGAATCCAACATATGTTTGCTAATTCTGGTTGTTTCTGTAAGAGAACCAAAAGAGAAAAGGACGGCGCCTTCACTTGCTTGATCCAAAATAAGCTGAGTTCTCTATTAAAAATTTTAATAAAAGTGCGAGTCATAATTTTGACTACTTGATCTAATTTTTTGTTTTCTTCTGATTGATCATTTGCAAGTCCTCCAATATAAATAAATTTATTCGAAATGGGTCTAGTCGTTTCTAAGAAGGGGTTTGAGTTGATGAAGACGAGTGAAGAATTTTTAACAAGTTCTTTTAAATTAGGAAAATCTTGGCCAAATGCTTCTTTGATAATCGGATACTAATTAAATTTTATTATTTTTTAAAAATAGTTATGTAAATAGTTAAATTCATTTTAGAAAATAATAAAGGATTATAAGGAATTAATCTAGTGAGCTTTTTGAACCATAGTTGTCCTCCACCCCTCACTACCGACTGATCGTTTTCATAATTTGCCTTATCTGGTATTATCAAGACAAACCCTGGACCTATAGACAAGAACCACGGACCGAGAAATGCATGAGAAGTCTTAAATCATGATGCATGACCAAGAGCATTGAACATCACAATTATCTAGTAGGCTTGGAGGAAACTTCGCAAGTTTTACCGTGTTTTTTATTCTGTTACATATTTTTTAATAAAATAAAAAAATCAGACTTGAGTTCGAAAATAAACATTATCTATCCAAATCCATGCTGAAAAGTGATTATAAAAATTGATCAATCTTGAAATAAACGAAGATTCAAATCCGACATATAAGGGTGCAAATAAATCTAAATTTGTTAAAATATTTGTACAACTGTTTACTACACTTAAAAATTAGAATTTATTTAGATTTATATTTATCTATAGTAGATAAGTGGCAACTTGGATGTTTTTTTTAATTTTTTACAAACGGGCAAACAAATGAGGATGTTCCAGAAACTCCTAGTTTCCAGAGGCTCTAGAGCAGGTAGCATTAATGGAAATAAGTCGAAAACTTAATACGGCTTTAGAATGATCGGACACACAATCATGGAGAGTGACATATCTCACTTCATTCACGATTTCCTCTCCCTACCTGGATTACTTTGGACAGTACTATCATTATTGCAATTTCATTTCAAGCTTATTCTGATTGTAATTTTTCAACTTTCATATTAAAATTAATATATTTATTTAATAAACATTATAATTTACTAAAATCTGACTTGGTATGAAGCTGGGAAAGTTTGGAATATCGAATTGGCTCGTAATATATCCAAATAAAGGAAGAGCGTATGCTGAAATCTTTGTTCTTATTCCAATTTTGTGAAATACAGCTACACCGGTATAATCATACATCTCTGTTATACCCACATCGAAGTGTTCTTGAGTTAGCTTTTGTAGTAGTTTTCGTTGTTTAATTATATCTGACAATTTATTTATTGTTTTTGTTTAGTTATTTTTTATTTGTTTTTAATCAAATTTAAATCTTTAATAGCTTAAACCATTTTGGAATTAGGTTAACAACCATTGAATTAATCTCCTCGATTAAACAACCATTGAATTAATCTCCTCGATTAGCCTTCCAAATTATTGAGAAAAATAAATAGAATATTGCGCTGCTTAACATGAAGTACCTATAACTCTGTCAAGACATCCCAGTCTAAAGTTAATTTGTATTCTAAATCCCCATTCCTGAGGGATTATACTGAAAATTTTTTGTATTTTATGTTGGGATGTTATACGATTTGTAGCACTAGCATGTATAATCTGAAGGACATTGGACAGACAAAATGTAAATTAAATGACAGAATAAATGACTGACATGGGATTCATGTCCTCAACTAGAGGCCAAAAATTTGGCCACATATTAAGCATGAGACACATGTATTACAAGTTTATCACAAACCTCTACATGCTGTAGCCATTAATGGGTCAAATTGAAAAGCAGGATGATCAAGAAAAGTTATAAGTGGCCGTTTACTAGTTATTGAGTCAGCAATCATTGGAATATTTTTAATGTCCAACTGTGCAGCATTTTCTATATTGGGTTCGATGATATAAATTTTATCAACTTTGCTCGTTTCATTTTTTAATTTTAACTCTGGAGACATTATATACTTGAGGAAATGCTGAAAATTTTACGGAAGAGATTTATTTTATCAAGTAGGGCCTATTATAAGATGAAGCTGAAAATTTTACGGAAGAGATTTATTTTATCAAGTAGGGCCTATTATAAGATGAAGCTGAAAATTTTACGGAAGAGATTTATTTTATCAAGTAGGGCCTATTATAAGATGAACATATGAGGCTGAAAAAGTGAGTTCTTGAATTTCAATATGAGTTAAAATTTTCCAGATATTTTCTTCTGTCCCGCTAAAAAAGAGGAAGTCATTCGAAATTTGAGCGCAGATTTGAATATAATCTGAACAAGAGCCATATAACACTATGTAAATCCGTATTTAATAATTCTCTCATGTTCAATAACAGTAATAATCAGACGAAAATTCATATTTATTAAATTAACTAACCACTTCATGGCCAGCATCAACTAAAGTATCCGCTATTCTTCCCAAAAATTTTGCGTGACTCCAACTAACAGAGGGGGAATATACAAGTATTTTGAGTTGTTTTCCCTTTTTAAATTCTGATTGTAAATTATCAGAATTGTGTTGTAAAGTAATTAAAATTAAAGTTAGAAAACATAATGACGGATATAAATATTTGAGGAAATTGAAGCGTACAGAAATCATAATGATAATCAGTCACTAAGCTAAATTAATTTTAATTAAAATTATATTGTAAAGCATATAGTAGCTATTTAATTCCTAAGGCTATTCAGTAGGCGGCGTGGTGTAATCACTCCAGTCTACTGAGAATCGGAGTGATCTCCCAGCCGCATATTACTATTTTGCACTAGCTCAAGTAGAGAAACTATAGCTCAGCTGCTTTACTATATCTAAAAAATCAAATAAATTTGTGTTGGTCCATGACCACCGGGGAGAAATTTTTCGGGCTACAAGGTGTCGAGAATGGATCGTCAATAAATGAACTTTGACTACCCCGTAATAAAATTTTAAAGTTTTTTTCAACATAGTAATGTTAAAATGATTTATTTTGTTTGTTTAATTTTCGATTAACACTCTCCCATAAATTTATTTTAAAAAGGGAGAAATTTTCAAGTACTTTTCTTTAAAAATAAAATTTGACTGAATTAGTTTGTACTTCTTAAATTTAAAAGAATTTTTAAAGATAAAATTTTTAATTTATCGTCAATAAATGAACTTTTAGTTAAAATAAAGTTAAGAGTATTTTAACTCAATCAACTGAGTAACAAAAGAATTTTTATCGTTTAAATGAACAAAATTTTTATTTCTTATCTTTTTGGAACTACACAAATTGTAGGTACATTGAGTTTTTTCCTTCCTTAAAATAATGTAAATAAAAAATAAAGTTATAGTTTCTAGTTTTTATATTTTGTGAAGACGTATTAAATTACTTAAACAAAATAGCTGATTATCTATACTCTAAAAAATTTTTGATACCAAGATTGCCTTTAAATTTTATAATTAATTCGGATTATTTCTCTCAAAGGTTGAGCACAAATTTTAAGATAAAAGTTGGCCTAGAAGCAAAACTATGGTTTTAGATGGAAAAACTCTATATCATTTAATCAGCTTGTCAATGCGATTCGAATGACGAGAAAAAATCCTTAAGAGAGCCATATGAACAGAGATAAAACCCTCTTATGTATAAATTAAAATAATTTTGGATAATATAAGTAGACAGTAAAAAAATTCTTATACTGCCAGGAATCCAGTAAATTCTTAACCTCAAATCGTGGATATATGAGAGATAGTATTGAGGCGGATTGAACATAAGGCAAAGAATATAAAGGTTTCGAATATAACGTGGTTCAATATAAGTACAAGTATTATACAATATCAAAAATTTTTTTGAGTTTTTAAAAATTAAAAAAAATGAAATTTAATTTTCAAAAATGCAAAAAATATTTAAGTTTATTTTAATATCTTTTCAATAGGCAAATATGATAGGCAAAAATAGGCAAAAATCGGATATGTCAAATATATTTTTTAATAAATAAAAAAATTTCCATTGACGGGTTCGAATCAGTGATCTCTATAAAATAAAAACTAAAACACAGATTCTAAAAACCAAAAATTAAATTTTTAAAATAAAAAATTTTGTAATTCATAAAAATATATTTTTAAAAATCAAAATTAAGATTTTTAAAGTAAACCATTTGTATTTAATCCCTGTTTATGGAATCTCTTCAAAGTTTTTTGGAGCTTTCTTTTTAGATTTTGTTTTTAATCTTGTGTCATTTCATCGTTATTTTTGTGTGAGTTTTGAAAAAAATTTTTAATGTTGACACTAGTTTAGCCGTTTCCAGATTTTTGATTATTATTGCCACATTTTCATTATAAACTAATCCCTACATGTCCAATTGTGTCACAGACTCCATCATAGTATCCTTCATGTTATATAAAATTTGGACAATCAAATAACACGCCAGACGTTTCCCTCTCTGCCTCTGTTGTATCAAAACCCCGCCATTGTATCAAACGCGTGTTTGAGTACCGAATTCGTCATATTCTTTATCTAGTATTTTTGAATTTCCCAATATACGTGGCCATTTCTAACCTCGTCTGGTAATAAATCAATCCTTATTAAATTTTAAAACATATATATTTTGGTACTAGGGGTTGAGAAAAAGCCAGGTCGGGTTCGATTATGGTTTAAAAATTCTCTCTAAATATTGATTCGGTGATGGCAATCTAGGAGGATAAAATGGGAAAAAGTTAGGTTGAGTTGTTTAGAAAAATTTTTCGGATCCGTTTCTGTTCGAGAAAACCTAAAAATATCAATCAACGCATCGCAAGAGATCTTATTAAAAATCTCACAACACCAGAAGGATCTATCTTCTTTTAAAAATTCAACGTTAAGGTATATCCGGAAACTACACACTACATACTTATAAACGTAATAGAATCAAAACAAACTTACATTCAATCGATTAGCCCGTCCAGACTTTTAGACAATTTTGAACTACAACCAAAATTTAAAAAATAGGCATCCCCATATTCAGTTGGGGTCTTAATGCACGACGAACAGTTAAAGATCTGGATCGGTGAGGCAATAAATCTGAAATGGAAGTTAACATATTAAAAATAACGTATTTCTGACACCTAAAACTTATGAAGGGATGGTTAGTCTTTGTTCTAGGTAATAAACATTAAATAAGATAGGAATAATTAAAATTCTCGACTTAATGTTAGAAAGCTATGATCAATAGTGTCGAAAAAATTATTATAAAAACTGGATAAAACCACCGTCCATTTCGTTTAATTTAAACAGAATTTAAAATCTAACTTTTAGATAAAATAAGCTAGCAGAATTTAATCGTAAATACATACATTTGCACAAGACGGTGCTCTTACTAACTATCTTCTATACATACTATCTTCAAACAGTTTAAGGATGTCTATTTAATTATTATATAATTTTCGATTTCAAAGTAAATTTATATTGAATGATAAAAAAGTGACCCTATCGGAATTTTTTCTTTCTAAAATATCGAATACCCCAGATCCATGGATACTTCTGATGCCCAATCAAATCTTAAAGAATACATTCAAATCACTCTTAATCCAGCTAAATATCCGGAAACTACACTAATATCCGGAAAAAAAACCGACTTAAAAAAACCGACTTTTTTACCGACTTAAGAGATTACAAATTTAAAACTGTGATAAGGCTTGTCGGACATTATTTCTGGTTATAAGTTTGGCTGTGGTGTTATTCAACACATTTCTAACATTTCCTTGTGATACACAGAAACCTCAACGATTGAACAGGTAATTAATCGGGGGATCGATTTGAACAGGTAATTAATCGGGGGATAGACTAATGCTAGTCCATCTGGCAAAATGGCTAGTAAACTTCAATTACAATGGTTCTTAAATGAATTTGCACCAAAAGTTCAAGCCGAGAAAATATTTTTACATGATTGCTGGACGGCTTTCGAATGATGTAGTGAAGATAACAGACTACAGTTCAATTTACGTTTTTTATGTTTACCTCCAAAATCGACCTTGAAAATACAACCATTGGTTAGATTAATTAATCGTCAGCTCAAGCTTTTTTGCGAAGTAGACACGAAAAACTAAGAAGATCCTATAATAATTATAATCTTTCACATAGCACCAGCACAGGTAATTTTGGTATAATTTTTTAGGTATAATATTTGGCTTATAGGAAAGATACTCAACGAAACTCACTTTATGTTTTCGGCTCCTATTTTTAAAGAGTTCATCCACTATGCTTAGACACTTTCATGATTTCTGGGATTAGTAGATTCCTACTTACGAAACACCACGACAATATTGTTTTCGAAACATCGAAATATATTTAAATTGTAACTGTGGGAAAGCCCCGTTTATTCGTTGTTCTTTGTTTTGAACATTTTATTTTACAATCTCATCGTTGTACTCATCGTTAAAATTAAATGAATAAATCATTATTAAAAAATAATTGTTTAATAGTAAATACAAAGGGAGAAGAAAAGCAAAGAAAAGCAAAGTGAGAAGAAAAGGAAAGAGAGGAGAAAAGAAAGAAAACTCACCGCTCCAAAAGTTGGAAACTTTGTATAACTTTTCGAAATGGGGGTCAGGGGAAGAAAAGCCGGATACTAAAACGGGTTTTTGACCACGCTCTACACTATGGTATAATTTTTATTTGAAAATTTTTGGTCACAGTTCGAAATGTTTACTTGTCAGCTCGGCAATGATATTTCGTTTTAGATGAAATAGCGTTTGTCCGTATCGGTTGCCTAGATATATGACAGAATTTTGCAATTTATATCTCCTCTAACTTACATGAAAAAAATTTCTTTTCTAGTTCATCGTAATTTCTTAAAAATAATTAAGAAATAAAATATTTGTCTATCTAAATTTTAAGAATGTCATTAAAGTGCATTTACTAAATAATTGTCTTTGGCTCAATGAGCCATTAGGATGTCGGGCCTTTTCTTTCATTATCTGCTTTTAAATATTTATTTTAAATATTTTCTTTATCTATAGCCAAGAGTCTAGAGAGGTAAAGAATGTTGACACTAAATTACAATTTCAAAATATAGCATTTAATTGGTAAAACAATTTTTGTCTCACAATTTTGGCTTACAATTTTGGCTCAAAATTTTGTATAAAACACAAAACGATTCAACAAATAAAATTAAATTTTAAAAATGTTTTTCATCAAATTTTTATTTATTTTTAAAATATTATTTTTAATATTTTTTGATTATTCTTTTTCTGATTATAAAAATAATCAACGAATTGTGGTTAAATCTACAGAAAATAATAAAAACGAGGATGGAAGTGTTAAAATAAATTTGTTGAGAATGGAAGTAAATAAAATTGAAGAAGAAACGTGGCGATACAAAATTGAAATTCTATACGAAATTAATGAGGAGAATGAAAATGATTATGTGTATACAACTTGTCAAAATAAAAGGAATATTTACTGGAAATAAAGGGAAAAAATTAGTTTTGATTGAGGATTCAGTATGGATCAACCAAAATAAAATATATATTTACTTAAAGAAGGAAAAAGAAGATGAAAAGGTATAAGTTTATATGTATATAAAAATGAAACGAGAAGAAAAATAAAATGGGGGGAGATAACACAAAAGTTCCGATCAAAGCTTTGAAATTAATCATTCAATCAAAAC